CAGTTTCAGTGGCAGCAGCTGAATCTGGAGCCAGTTCCGACTTGCATACAAATTCAACTTAAGAACAAACACACGAGCCAAGATTTTCAAAGATGAGGGGGTGCTCAAAATTAGAGCCCTTTGGCCTAAATAAATGCTACCAAAATTATCCCAACTGGAAGGTCTTACAACTTGACCCTGCACAGTACAAAAGGTCATTTACATAAAAACTCGAGCAAGACTTTAGTTATTCCATCTTTAGACTGAATATTCCCCTAGACAATCAGCAATCAATTCTAACCTTGTAGAAGTTTCCATAGGATTTGCGAATGTTGATCCACTTTTTGGCAAAAGAGGGATATTTGATACGGCTGATACGGCATTGGATATTCAGGAATTTACTCATATCCCAAGACCTTTGGGGGGTGGGGCGAAATCAGGAGAAACAGGGAAAAAAGGTAAAGAGAACACTAACAGAAAATCTTAAATGGAAGCAAAACAGATAAATGTTGCCTTTCGTTTGTGTTCATGAACAGGAGGTAAACCATATTGCATAAAGAAAATCATATCTCCTGTACTAACAGCAGCAAAGAGAAAGCAGGAGCTTTTGGGCTATTATCTTCAGTCACCTCTAGATACTAAAGTAAGAGCTCTTACTTTTAAGACCTTAACCTCACTCAGAGGATGTAGACATGGCCTGAGACATTTCCAACCCTGCATTCTAAAGCCAGTCATGCTTCCAATCTCATGCACATCCACCCAAAAGATGTGTTTTTCTACCTATACAGCAGACTTCTGGGGAATCCTGTTGTACTTTCTCCCCTTGAGTGAAAATCAATTCAGGAAGATATCTGAAGGTTACTTACTTTACTGATTTACATAACAAAACTGATTTATTTTTGTCTTTGGATAAGATGTAAAAACTGAAGTTATTATGACAGGTGACCAAGATGCCATGGTACCTTAAAACAAATAGGGCCAGCTCTCCAACCAAATTCTAAATCTGGATGAAAAGCAAAAAATCTGTTGTAGCAGCCTCCTCAGCATGCACTACATTTAAAATGAGTGAAAAACTTCCATTATGTGTTTTCATTCCTGTCTTCAGATGTTCGTGACCTTTTCAAATATTCACCTTTAGGCCTGAAATGTTTACTTCACCAAAATGTAGCCCTCTGGAAGTTGTTGGTAAGTTAAAGTACACTTTTTCCTCAGATACTATCTTGATGGGCACAATAGCAAGATAGTATCTGAGCCTCTAGCTATCATCTTTGGAAAATCATGGGAGATAGGAGAGATTCCAGAGGACTGGAAAAGGGCAAATCTAGTGCCCATCTATAAAAAAGGGAAATAAGAACAACCCAGGAAACTACAGATCAGTAAGTTTAACTTCTGTGCTAGGGAAGATAATGGAGCAAGTAATTAAGGAAATCATCTGTAAACACTTGGAAAGTGGCAAGGTGCTAGGGAACAGCCAGCATGGATTTGTAAAGAACAAATCATGTCAAACCAATCTGATAGCTTTCTTTGATAGGATAACGAGTCTTGTGGATAAGGGAGAAGCGGTAGATGTGGTATACCTAGACTTTAGTAAGGCGTTTGATAACGGTCTTGCATGATATTCTTATCAATAAACTAGGTAAATACAATTTAGATGGGACTACTATAAGGTGGGTGCATAACTGGCTGGATAACCATACTCAGAGAGTAGTTATTAACGGTTCACAATCCTGCTGGAAAGGCATAACAAGTGGGGTTCCGCAGGGGTCTGTTTTGGGACCAGCTCTGTTCAATATCTTCATCAATGATTTAGATATTGGTATAGAAAGTACGCTTATTAAGTTTGCAGATGATACCAAGCTGGAAGGGGTTGCATCTAATCTGCAGGATAGGGTCATAATTCAAAATGACCTGGACATATTGGAGAAATGGTCTGAGGTAAATAGGATGAAGTTTAATAAAGACAAATGCAAAGTGCTCCACTATATGAGTCAGTAGTGTGATGCTGTTGCAAAAAAAGCAAACATGATTCTGGGATGCATTAATAGGTGTGTTGTGAGCAAGACACGAGAAGTCATTCTTCCGCTCTACTCTGCACTGGTTAGGCCTCAGTTGGAGTAGTGTGTCCAGTTCTGGGCACCACATTTCAAGAAAGATGTGAAAAAATTGGAGAGGGTCCAGAGAAGAGCAATGAGAATGATTAAAGGTCTAGAGAACATGACCTATGAGGGAAGGCTGAAGGAATTGGGTTTGTTTAGTTTAGAAAAGAGAAGATTGAGGGGGGACATTATAGCAGTTTTCAGGTATCTAAAAGGGTGTCATAAGGAGGAGGGAGAAAACTTGTTCATCTTGGCCTCTGAGGATAGAACAAGAAGCAATGGGCTTAAACTGCAGCAAGGGAGGTTTAGGTTGGACATTAGGAAAAAGTTCCTAACTGTCAGGGTGGTCAAACACTGGAATAAATTGCCCAGGGAGGTTGTGGAATCCCCATCTCTGGAGATATTTAAGAGTAGGTTAGATAAATGTCTATCAGGGATGGTCTAGACAGTATTTGGTCGTGCCATGGGGGCAGGAGACTGGACTCGATGACCTCTCGAGGTCCCTTACAGTCCTAGTATTCTATGATTCTATGAATATTTATAGGTATAGAAGTGCCTATGAATAAAATACAGATTGAACCTCTCTAGTCTGGCACACTCTGGTCTGGCTTTGGTGGTCCAGCATGATTTTAGCTAGACGTACACTTAGCATGGGTGTGACAAAGTTTCCCGCAGTCCCATAAAGTTTGTTTACAGCCACCAGTCCTGTTTTCAGTGTTCTTTGCTGTTATTTAGCTCTAATTTACCCCCATATCTAGGAACCCAGTAAGCAGTGGAAATGTTGTTAATGCTGCTGAACAATATTTACCTCAGGTGGTTTGACAAATTCTCTGGTTTGTCACCGGTCAGATCCTAAGGGTGGCGGACTACAGAGGTTCAGCCTGTACTAATAAATATCTTAAAGGACTACAGCAAACAAATACAGGCAGTCCCCAGGTAACGTACAAGATAGGGACTGTAGGTTTGTTCTTAAGTTGAATTTGTATGCAAGTCGGAACTGGTACATATTGTAGGGGAAACTCTAGCCAAATATTTCTCCAGAGCTCAGTTTTATTCTCCCACACCTCACTTCCCTCAGTCCTTTATTCTCAAGCTGAGGTGTCTGCTGAGAAAAGCCGCTTCGCGTCTCCCTGGTTTGCTGCGGGGGGCGCTAGCTTCGCGTCTCCCTGGTCTGCTGGGGGGAAGCAGCTAGTGCGGGGTTGCCTCACCCTGTTTGTAAGTAGGGATCCGATGTAAGTCGGATCCATGTAACCCGGGGACTGCCTGTATTGAGACATTAGGCTTGGTACAGGTGAGTCTTCGGTGCAAACTAAAGTCTTAGAAATTAAAAAAATAGTTAAATGAAAAGAAGTCAACTGCTGAGCAAGACACTGGCATCTACTGAAATCTTCGAGCTAAAATAAACTTAGCCCTCTCTGTGACATTACTGCATATTCTCTCAGTGTAACACAGAGGGGAGTAAAAGGGGAAAGGGCTACTACTGGGACAATTTACTTAAAAAGAAAGATTGCATCCTTCTGAAATTTAGCAATCTTAAATTCATTTTAAAGGATACCTTCACCCCCAGAGCAGGAAAAAGATATGGGCAGAGAAAATTGTTTTGCTGGTCCCCTGAGTAAGGGTTCTCTATATTTTTACTAAATTACACTTCTTCTGTATATATATTCTAGCATCAACTTCTGGCAAATGATACAGCAGTAACAACATAAGCTACACCAGGCAAACAGCAGCAATGATAAGAACATGATTGTCTTGGACACGGTGACGGGTGTCCATCCCACAAAGGACTGGAAGGGGTTAAGACGGTCAGACAGTCCAATTAACTTCCCAGGCTGCATCTGGAGGAGCCAAGGAGCAGGGCACTAAGCAAGGTCAGCTATACAATGACCGATAGGACCTGTATAAAGCCAGATAGTGCTCAAAAGGAAGCTGAAAGGAGGGAGCAATTGCAGTCTATTTGAGTGGAGGGTGATGAGGGGCTGTCAAACCTGGGGGCGGGGGTGTAAGTCAGGAAGATAGATGAAGGTTCAGGGGAATAGGAGCAAGGAACAGGAGTGTGGAGACTGTGGCTGCTGACCAGAGGGCATATGTTCCCCTGCCAGCCTCTGGGAACATGGCAGAGAACCAAGGACTGCCTGGGATAATTTGGTCAAGGAAAAACTCCTCCCTGGAAGGGGAAACAACAGTGACATTAACTGGTAGGCTGAGTGAGGAAGAGGAGGATGTGATTCCTGGCATGAGCGCTTCAGAGGACAAGACAAGGACAAGAGATCCTGTTGAAGGAAGGTACAATGCTTGGCCAAAGCTAATCCCAAGGATAGTCAGGAGGAGGTGCCTCCAGCAGAAAGCAACCCTATGACAGACACCATTCACTGCACTAAAGTGTGCATTGCATTATGAAGCCCAAATGGGAACATGTAAAGTTTGACACTTAAAATGGCCTATCCTGTTTCTCTCATTTTGAAAAAGGGATTGCAATAGCAGCTAACAGAATGGTGACATTTCTCAGTTAAAAAGAGATACACTGGCTTTGATGCTCTAGCCTGCACTATGCAAGTTAAACAAAAATCACCAAAACTGTTCCTTCTGACCTTAAAATATGTGAATCCATGACCAATGTTATGTTGGCTACATTGCACATCTGGCTATTTATATAGTCCTCATTGCCATTCTATCTGAGCACCTCACAATTAGTAATGTATTTTAGTCTCAAAATCCTTGTGAAATAAGAAACTATCAGTTAAGAAGCAGAGGGGCAGGGTAGATTAAACAGTGTTCTTGTGCGACAGGCTCTAAATGCTGGTCTCCTGACTCCAACTTCAATATTATATTCACTTGGCCACTCTTCCTATCATGTAGTATACAACATTTTCTAGTCCTGTTTTCTTGTTAAATATTAGCCAATATTACAGAGAACGGTAATGTAAATAAGATGTATTACAGTGAAACCTCTGTTATCCGGTACTCTGTTAACCAGAAAACTTTGTTAACTGGCATTGCCCCCAGCCACAATACTGACACATCTTCAGGCACACAGGCCTGGCTTGGTTTATCAAGATTGGCTTAACAATTCTTTTTTTATTTAAGTAGTACTAATCATCTTTGACTCAAAATAGAAATGTGAGACTAACTGCCTCACACTACAAAACTACCAGTATTAAAAACTTGAGTTTTACTATTATTGTCCATTGTTTTTTCCTAGGTTGATGGTACCTTCTGATAACCGGAATTTTTAGACAACCAGAATGTCTTAATCCCCAAGCCTGCCAGATAACATGTTTTACTGTATAAAGCCAATTTTAACACTGCTTTTAGATCAACATTCATATTTTCATTACTTTGAATCTAACTACACAACTTCAATACTACAGGTTATATTTTACATTCATATTTGTTTATTTTATTAATGATTTGAAAAGTGACAAGCTTTCATTTTGGGCTTACATAAGCCAGCATATGAGAATGCTGGAAAAAAATTGATGCCACGTACTACATTCAAACTTTAGATCCTACTCAATTTCATTTTAAGAACTATACCCAAATAAAAAAAGAAAGTACTCTAGTATGATTTTAGGACCAATGTTATATTCTAATGTTGGCAATACTAGTTACAAAAAGCAGATTAATTTAAGAATTGCTTTGCAATTTTAAAATGCATTTAATAAATTACTATATAAAACATGCACCCTGCTTTCCAAGACATACCCATCAGTCAGTATGGTATAGCTATATTTGGTTCCCAGCTCTCTCTGTTTCATCCACTCTACAACATTTTGTAGAACCTGAGGAAATGCATCAGCTTTGTCTACGTGATCCTGAAAATATATAAACACAAAAAAGTCAGTTATGTTTGCTAAAGAAAATGTATACTGTAAAGCATTACAGTTAAACTAATGTACAGGAACAAACATCACATACTTTCAACAAACTAAAAACATTTAAAAAGGAGGACATACAAAACACCTGTGAGATAGCTCCTCATTATCCCAGGTTTCAGAGACAAAGAGAGCTTAAAGGCCTGATTTTCATAGGTAGTAAGTACTCAAAAGATCTAATTCACACCACTTATGGAAGGATGGGGATGAAAACCAGATCTTACAGCCCATATTTTTAAAGATATTGAGAAATTGCTGCTCTGTTAAAACACCTAGTTGATTTAACAGCCTAAATTCCACTGACAGTCAATTTAGGCTCCTAAATCATTTAGGCATTGCATCACTGAAAACACAGTATTTCAAAAATCTGGGTATAAGGGACTTGGCAGTAAGTCACACATTTAGCCACCAGCAGAACTTAAGACTAAAAGAAGTCTGAAGCAAAATGCAGGACAATGTAGCACTTTAAAGACTAACAAGATGGTTTATTAGATGATGAGCTTTCATGGGCCAGACCCACTTCCTCAGATCAAATCGATCTGAGGAAGTGGGTCTGGCCCATGAAAGCTCATCATCTAATAAACCATCTTGTTAGTCTTTAAAGTGCTATATAGTCCTGTTTTTTGTTTCAGCTACCCCAGACTAACACGGCTACATTTCTATCACTAAAAGAAGTCTGTCTCCCAGTCCACAATCACTGCCAGTCATCTTGCAACCATTTAAAATTCTTTGGTCTGGTAGGAAACTGGCAGTTAGAGGATCCACGTCCAGCTACGAGACAGCAATTATCACGGATGCACAACCATTAGTGGTGATAGAAGCAAAATCAGAAAACTCCCTATTCAAAAGCCATACCAAAAAAATACCCCCCTCAAGCAGCAAGTTTTGATGTTTATCAGATACCTAGCTGTACATACTCATGAGGTCTAAACACAAATTAGAAACACCACCTAAGTCTGTGTACCAAAGACGGATTGGATTGTTCTCAGTCCAGGAGCTCATAGTAAGACCTCATTTACACCACCAAGTTTGGTTAAACTTAATTTAACACTCAATTTTTTTTTCCAGAGTGTTCACACTTGTTCTGTCATCAGATCATATCATGGACATGTGAGCAAGCACTGTGGGTATGTATCCCATAGGGCAATGTTGTGGGAAGGCAGAGCCGATAGCTGCCCATCTTGACATTCCCTCTGAGTTATTCCATATCCACCTCAGCTGGCAGGAGAGGCATCATGAGTAGCTGTGAGCTCTCCATGCTCAAAGCAGCACAGCAGTCTTTTCAGTCACCATCCTGTCCCTTCATCACCCTGCAACAGCAGTCTGCAAGTTGCTATGTTCTTAGTGCAGGGCAGAACAGAAGCCTTCCAATGATTTTCTTTTTACTCTCCAAACTCACCTGTCAGATACTTGCAAGAGCTTTGAAAGGGGAGGGGCACATGTATGCAGGGCAGCAGACATCAAAACACTGAGCAGAGCACTCAGGATAGGCATTGTGGAATACTGGCGGAAGCCAGTTCTCTGGACAAAACACAGTAGTGTCTAACACTGGCTCTGCTGACAAAGGGAGGAGAAAAGAATAGTCTCTCCTAGGAGTGGAAGTTTTTTGTCCCCAATACTAGGTGTTTTTCCTGACAAGTCGCACTGCGGTTTGTATACCGTTTTGTTTCCAAAAGGCAGTTTTTTCCCCCTACAAAACTTGGAAATGTAGACAAGACCTAAGTTTTAAGATGATTCATAAAGTGGAGAGACTTTGCTCATTACATCATTCATGAACAAATCCAAACTGCTCAAAATGGCTAAACTCTTCATTAATGACATTACAAAAGTAGTAAAGAAGCCTTGGAATTGGTAGAGACTGAGAAAACTACTGAGGACTTCAAGAGTTTTAGGCCTCGAACTGTACTTACTTCCAAAGTTGTGTTATACTTCTAAGTCTCCATTTCCAGGTCTCCAAAGTATTACTGTTTCAAAAGCCAATCTTCAAGCAGAAAAAGCAAGATTTAAATCTTAATAGTCAAGTAATTCTTGGGCTACCTGCATAGGCCAGCAAATATTTGGACTTGGAATGAATCTGTGCTTTTCCTTTCAGCTCCCAACTTTGCTGCTTGAAGGACTGATAAAACCAAATTCTGAAACGTAAGTCTAAAAGCTTTGACAAAGCAAACTTTCCATTCATACTTGTGTCTGGACTCTCAGACACGTTACCTGAGTGATTCCTGTCAGACTGATGCAGAAGTTTGAAAGCTGAGGATTAATCTCTGGTTTCACATATTGTTGAAAGGTATCCTCCTACAGGAGGGGATAAAAAAAGTCAAATGTTTTACAGCCATATGGAGAAACACAAAATCACAAATCAGGTCTCATAGAAGTAATAGCTTTGTATCTGAAAAGAATAGTTAAATAGCAAACAGCAAGATAATATTCATATTTGGGCTCTATTAGCCATTGTTCATTGTTTACCAAATAAATGGGACTGCAATAATAGAAGTAATATATGATAATCACAGTTTTGATGACATATTGTTCCAAGGTAAAAGACATTTATCACAAACAAAATCTACATACGTATATATATTTGCTTCCCTTTGTTATCCTTGATAGATGACTAGCATTTGCTAAGTTTTCCTTCATCAACTATAAAACCTGGGGATGATGAGCATTATGTTCTCTATGAAGTTACAGGGAAGCCATGGGCTGTATTCTAATGTAATATATGAGTGTTGGATGACCTCTGTTCCTAAAGCTTCCTGAGATATCCATAAGTTGAAGTGCACATATATGCTGGGTTTCATCACGTTACTAAGCACACGCTCCTCTCTCTTTTGCACTCCAGGAAACGGAAGGCTCAAGAGTTAATCTTTGGCCATATGAAGTACCCCTTATAAATGCTAGACAGTTTTGCTGTTGTAGTTATACTAGTATAGCTATACCAAAATACTGTCTAGTGTGAATACAACTGTCAGTATAAGAGAGCTCATATCAATATAGCTGAATATACATTAGTAGCTATGTTGTTAAAATAAATAAGCCATATCCCTAACCAACATAACTATAGATCAGGGATGTCAACATGTAGTGACTACATGATTAACCTGGGCTTGTTGGTTAATCCTATCGACTAGATGTCTCCTCCCTCCCCATAACTGCCTCTGTATCAGAGGCAGCAAGGGGGTGTGCAGGCAGGAGCTGGCATGCGTGGGGAGCCAGCTTTAAAGCCATTCCTCCACATGTGTCGGCTTCCACAGAACCACCTCCTGCTCCAGCCCCCCTGAGAGGCAATGAGGAAAGAAGGGAGGTGGGGGTCAAGCGGGAACTGATGCCATCTTAAAATCCAGCTCTCCACAAGCATTGGCTCCCGCCTGCCCCCAAAATGTATCTGCTAAAATTTCAAGCAATTACACATTTACACAAATACCTGATAGTTAACTTCCCTACTACAGATAGCAGCTAAAGTTTTAAGTATAAACCAGGCCTTTAAGATTATGCACTGAGGTCCTATGATCATTTGCCTTCACTGCAAAGTGAACCTGGACTCTTCTTCAGGCGTGGCTCCTCATTCAGCTCCCATCTACATGCTCAGCCACTAAAATGCTTTTAATTCTCCAGTGCCATCCCCAAATTCCACCCATGTGACCAGAGGGAAAGTTCTCTAATTCACTGGGAAAGAATCAGAACAGTTCAACTTACTACAGCATAAAGAAAAATGTGACCCCCCCTCCCCGAAGTCCTAATGAAACGCATCTGAGTGCAGCACTAATGAAATAGTGATTTGAATGTGGCTTTGCAGTGTGGCAGCTCATGGTCAGGCTACGCTAACCTGGGTGCTGATGATCTGAAATAACTCTGCAGTGAAGACATACCCGGTGTTCCCTGTAAGTTGTGTGCTTGTGTCCCCCCCATAAGGAGAAATTCTAAAGCTGTCCAGCTGATTAGCAGAGTGCCCACAGCCAGGTTTATGTTTTTCTTGATGATGCACATTCTCACATGCTTTGGTGCGCATAACAATGTATTCTACACCTGGATGGGAAAGATAAAAGGGAATACTGGACATACAACTAATGATCAATCTGACCAGTACTAGACAAAACAAAATGGAGAAATAACATGCTGCCTCTCCTGGAATAAGAACTCAGGGCTGGAAGTCAAGAACTCCTGGGTCCTAAACCTACCGTGTGTTGACAGAGAGATGTAGATTAGTCACACCGAAATTGCTAATGAAGCAGGGATTTAAATATCCTCATTAGCATAAACATGGCCGCCGCATTTTTCAAAACAGTTTTTTTGGAAAAACGGCAGTCTAGACGCAGATTTGTCAAAAATAAAGCCTTTCGACAGATCCTGCAAACCTCATTTTTTGAGGAATACAGGATCTATCGAAAAGGGTTTATTTTCGACACATCGGGGTCTAGACTACCGTTTTTTCAAAAAACTTTCGAAAAAAGTGGTGGACGTGTTTATGCTAATGAGGTGTGGGATATTTAAATCCTGGCTTCATTAGCAATTTCGATGTGCCTGATTTGCATCCCTTTGTTGACAGAGGGATGCAGTCTAGATGTAGCCCTAGAGTTGATTGGCAACAAAGTCTTCAGCAAGTCCCTTAATCTGTTTTAAGTATCCCCATTTTATAGCTTTAGGGGGTAGCCGAGTTAGTCTGTTACAGAAAAAAAAAAAAAAAACCAGCACAGCAAGCAAATGGTCTTGTAGCACTTTATAGACTAACAAAACATGTAGATGGTATCATGAGCTTTCGTGGGCACAACCCACTTCTTCAGATGATTGGAGTTATGATTAGAGGATAAGGAAACTCGAAATAAATAGGAGAAGGGAAGGGGGGGAGGAGAAGAAAGACCTTCTGTCGCCCACCCCCCTACCTCTATGCATAAAGTATCAGGAGAAAGGGTGCTAAACCTGAGTAGATAAAGATCAAAGTCAGTGGATGAATAAGGGTAGAGATGTAGCCGTGTTAGTCTGGGGTAGCTGAAGCAAAATGCAGGACAATGTAGCACTTTAAAGACTAACAAGATGGTTTATTAGATGATGAGCTTTCGTGGGCCAGACCCACTTCCTCAGATCAAAAAGTAGTTAGCACCTTCATTGATAAAGGCTCCACCACCCCATATCTTGATTAAGTCCATAATTAACTGAATTTGCATATGTATTATAATTCCAAGCTTTCCCTGTGGATTTGACTTGAGGAATTGGCCTGTGACAAGACAGCCACCTTCAGATCTGTGAGATTATGGTTAAGTAAATAGAAATGTTCTGCTACTAGCTTCTGAGTATTTTCTTTACATATAATTAAACCACACACAGTGCTTCAGGTAGCCAAGTGAGCATGACTTTGAGGATCTAGACCCTCATATACAAAGTATTAACCCTAGGGAAGATATTCTAAATTAACTTGCCCAAGGGAACTCATTAATGGACCTCCCGGGCACCATATTGTTTCAGGCCAATTTCATAAGTCAACTCCACACGGAAGCCTTAGAACTTAACTTCATTTACAAGTTTGATTCCTATAACAGAAGTATGAATAAAGACATTGGCTGGATGGCCTGCTACATTCCACATCCTAATGATGTAAGAAAACCAAACAATGGGTACTGAAGAACAATTAGTACCTTCTCTATCAGCTTCCTGTAGCATGGACACTAATTGACTTTCTCCATTTTTTCTTTGTTTTCCTTCTCCCCCCCCCCCCCCCCCTTTTTTCTTTAAAGACCTTTAATAACACCATTCATCTGAAGTGGATTGTGCCCCTGAAAGCTCATGATACCATCTACATTTTTTGTTTGTCTCTATGGTGCTACAAGACTATGTGTTATTTTTTAAAAGCTTCAGAGGGGTAGCCAAGTTAGTCTGTGCAGGATAACCTTAAAAAACAACAAATAGTCTGGTAGCACTTTAAAGACTAATAAAAACACATAGCTGGCGTCATGAGCTTTCGAGAAGTTAAAGTGGGCTCTGCCCACGAAAGCTCATGATACCATCTACATGTTTTGTTAGTCTTTAAAGTACTACCAGACTATTTGTTATTTTTAAATGTATGTTATTTTTTAAGTTTTTCCAGTTACAGAACACCGTGGCTACCCCCTGAAGCTTCTAAATTACTGTTAGCTAAACATGAGAGGTACACAAAGATACAGCAACATCTACGTTTCTGCCTGATTATTTAGAACATATAATTATAATCTCTTCCATATTAGAAAATTTGCACCAGTGAAACTAGATTGCTATTAAATTGACCTAATTACAATAGTGCAAATTTTCTAATATAGATTGCTCTAAGATTATCCTAACTGAAAAAAAGAGAAAAAATAATATTTTATTTGAGAATACTGTTTCTCCTGTTTGCATTTATCTTGGCATAAAGCAGGTATTTGAAAAATGGGAAACTAAACAAGGGCAAAAGAACTCAGTAGAACCCAGATATAAAAATGCAAATTGTAATTATTTAAGGTACATGGTCAACTCGTCTTTTTTTTTAAATGCCAAAGCAAATATCACACCTGCCTCTCTCTCAAATAAAGAAAAATTGTCCTTTAAACTCCAAGTTCTATAATTATTTTAAAACTAATCAGTCTTTACTTTTTGAAGCAATGAGACAAGAGGTAGAGCAAGTAGATCACTTACTATTTCTAGTGTATGAGTATTTAATAAAACAATAGGAAATTCAATTATTTCATGCTTAAATTCAGGCTGATTGTCCTCTTCACAGGTCGCTTCAAAGTCAATAACACAGATATAATCATAGTAACTGTCTTCATTACTGGGCTCCTTCTGCATCAGCTTCTGTTTCTTATAGTAGTTCTTCAATCTCTTTTTCAGTACATCTTTTACTCCCCTGTAGAGGAATTAGACAGGATATTAGAACTCATATTCCAATCCAAATCTGTTCATATTAATTCCTTCATCATTCCAGATATGAAGCCAAATCTACTGCTTGAGCTTACTCAGAACAGGGTAATAAATGATGTACAAAGTCAATATGCAATGTTCAAAACAGCTGACTGATCCTACAGTGGAATTATTTACTTCCCATTATTTTGAAAAAAACCTTAATGCTGGGATCCTGCACCCTTGAAGGCAGAGGCATTTTGGATGATTACAATGGCAGAAGGTTAAAAACTGGCAAGATGTTTATTTTGTAACAAAATTACTTTAAAACTATTATATAAGGATTTAGATGAGAACTGTCATGTTACAAACCAAGAAGCAGATGAATTATTTCAAGACATAAGGCAAAATTGCTCTAAGAGGAAAATTAAGCCATTTTGCCATGATTACACACAACATAGGGTAAAAAGTGATATCAGACAGTTATCACAGTCAACAAAATGGAATAGATGGAAGTAAATTTCCATTCACAACCAAGAAAAGAGGAAATTGTGGACGTGCAGGGGAGAAGTGGTAGAGCAAGAGAAACAATAGCAAGGAATAAGACTTCTTTCACTGTTACCTTTCTTTAAAATAAATCTAAATCTAACAGGAAAATGTCTGATTTTTTCAAATCTACTGACAATTTCAGTTAGGATTTTCTGATTTCCCCCCCGCCCCCCTCACTCCACAGCTTGTCAATTACCTTCCTCCTAGTTGAATACATGTACATGAGGAGAACAAAATGTAAGTGGGGAAACTCAAGCATTGGGAAAGTAATACATTCTTTATAAGTTGTCAACATACTTAAATCTTCTATTACTTAGTATTCTAAGTATACAAGCTAAATAGCTATTTAAAAAACCCTAGTTAAGTTAGGAAAAAGTTAAGTGACAGCATTTTTCAGATAGTTAACTAGCAGAAATGCTATCTGAGAAAAAATAATCTCCAATCCTTCAAGTATGGTCAAATGTCACAAGTTCACTGTCTGGATCTGGTTTGTCAACTGCAAAGTTCAGCAAGATACTGGCATAGTTTGTGTATGAACCCACACCTCAAGAACATTTTTTTTTTTACAGTAAAATATATTACTCACCCTGTGCAGTAACTATGGTTCTTCAAGAGTTGCGTCCCTGTGGGTGTTCCACTTCAGGTGCTGGTGTGTCCCCGTGCTGACTGGAGATTTACAGTGGTAATGTCCATGTACAAGAGGTGTCTTGTAATGCCATGGGTACTATACGTTCTAGAAGATGCACAACCCAATCCCTCCAGTTCTCTCTCTATTGTCGAGTCCTTACTGCAAACTACCAGCTAAGGTGGGGACAGTAGTGGAGCACCCACAAAGACACACATCCCGAAGAATTTCAGTTGCTGCACAAGGGGAGTAACCGTCTCCTCTTCTTTGAGTGCTGTCCCTGTGGGTGCTCGACTTCAGGTGACTGTACAGCAGTGTGTCTCAGACAGCAGAAGGGACATTGGGTTCCTTTGTGTTGCAGAGATTAGACAGGGCATCCAATCTGGAGACGTAAGTGATTGCATAGTGATAAAAATGTGTGGACAGTCAAGATTGAGGTACTCTCCATTGCTGTGAATGTTGTCATTGTCTTTGGTCCTCATATTGCCTCTGTTACTGTTGGCAGGATGAGGAATTTGTTCTTCTGATAAGGCTGTAATCAGTGTAGGTCCCCAAAGTGTAAAGAATAGCTCTAGGATATTTCCAGTGGAGCACCTTATCTGTCCTTGTTGAAAAGTGTTTCTCTTGGTCGAAAGACAAGTACTCAACCTTGGTTTGGAGTTCTTGAGGTATGCCAAAGGATTGTAACCAGGATGCTAGAATAACCACAGCTGTGTCTACTACTTCTAAGGATGCTTAGGAGTGCTGTTCAAGTGTGAGTTGGCCCTCCTTTAAAGCAGGCTTGAATCGTGCTTGTTCCTCCTCTGGAAGCTCCTCAGTGAAAAAGCTCAATTTCCTATCAAACATATTTAGCTAATAAAGCAAAATAGTTGGTAATGCTAAATAGTAGCATCATTGAGGAATAAACTGTTCATTGAGAGATCAAGCTTTTTGTTTTCCTTGTCTTGTGGGTCAGGTCCAGAATATGCCAGACCAGGGAGGTCCAACCCCTACCCCAAGTTCCTTCCTGGCCAGACACCCTACCCCCAGTCTGCTCCTACACCCTCCCTCAAGGCCACCCTTTAATGTGTAAGCAGAACTGAGACCAGGGTCTGCCAGAATGTATATGCTGGTTCCAGCAATGCATCGTTAATGGGCAGAGTGATTTTGAAAGCTGAGGATGTTTGCAGAATTTGGAACAGTTTGTGTTAGTTTGCCTGAACTTCCTCCAATGGACCGTGTTGCTTTTGAATGACAGGTTTGAACTGTTCCAGGAACTGTCTGAAGTCATCCACCATGGTAGCAGGCAGCAGCATGATTACTTCAAGACAGGAGGAAGAATTGTGTGCAGGAAATGTGACTTCCTCATTCATGTCTGTATCAGTTTCACCCTCAACAATCTGAGCATCAGATGTCTGTGGGATAGACAGAGGATTTAAGCTCAGTTTACCTCTATGAGCAGGGAGTGGCCTCGAGTGATGGCCCTTGTGCAGTGCCCAATTTTCCCATAATGGCCACTGCATAGAAAAGGCCATCGGGTGGGTACATCCAGAGGGCCAATACCACAGTTGAACTACCCACCAATATTGGTGTTTTGGTCTCATATGCCCCCAAGATTTCAGAGATGAATGATGTAGTGTGAAGATGCAAAGCTGTATCCAAGCTCCCAGCAGACAGGCTGCTCCAGCAACCCACGAAGATGGAAACTCCATCTAGTGACAAATATATGCCAAAACAGAAGCCAGGTGAACTCTTTCAAAACTAGACAAACCTGATTATTTCAAGTGCAGGAAAAAATCCAGCACTTGCATAATTTCAGTAAAACGGGGTTAACACTTGGAATAGTGCCCAAAGAAAAATCTTTTCTACTTTTATAGTTTTGCACTGGTCTACTGCAGCAGTTCTCAAACTATGGGTTGGGAGCCCAAAATGGGTTACAATGCCATTTAAATGGTTTCTCAAGGGCTGTCACAGACTTGCTGAGGCTTGGAGCTGAAGCCAAGGCTTGCGTTGCCCCAGGCTTTGGTGTGTCCCTCCCCCCCTCCCCAGTCATGTAGTAATTTTTGTTGTCAGAAGGGAGCTGTAGTATAATGAAGTTTGAGAATCCTGCTCTAATGGGCTTCACTCTGTCCCTCCAAACATGGCTCTCATGTTTTTCCCATGAGTGTTCCAACAGAAATCATCCATGTGGCAGGGTAAAGAGATTTGAAGTTCCGATGCAGAAGGTTGTAACAAGTAATAGTGAACCAATGAAGAGACAGGTTGATCCATAAGCTTGTAGTGTCTTGGCCAGGACACTTCAATAAGGATCAATCATGGTTTGTTCTGTTTCAGCTTCCTGAGTACTCTCAAAATGAAACAAAAGAGAGAGGGCATACAGTAGCTGATGTGATTAGGGAAGAAAGTCATGCTGAATAATAGAGCATAAATTTACCATTTAGATACAATATGGAAATAGGGTCACAGAAAAACTTAAATACCCTATCAGATTACAGAAGATGTTCTTTACTTTACTAAAGCAATCTTAAAGGTGGTCAAATAGCCTCCTCTTTACAAATGTAACCAAGAAAATGACATGGAGGCGCTTCTCAGAAATGATGTAAGATTAATAACTAAATCTTACCTGGTTTCAAGTTTGAATTCTGCAAGTTTAGCTCTGAGTTCATCTCTACTCATTCTGTTAATGTAACCATTGGTCACAGCAATTTCTTTGTAAATTGGGTCACTGTAATCACTTGAACCAGAAGTGCAACATTTTCCATTATTTTCTTGGCCATCAAGTCTACAATGTTGCTTGCCCTAGAAGAAAAAGTCTGCAATTAGTTTTAAAAACTAAATAGAAATTAAGTAACTACTACTGACGTGTACCTTCATCACCAAAACTCAATGTAGCATTCATTATGCAATTTTCCTCACCGATGTATTGTTTTATATAATTAAATACATCAGTATACCAACTATCAGTTTTGAAAGGCCATTCTGTCTCCTTTTCACCATATATCTTTACAATATATAGATGGCAGAAAGAAAAGATAGATTTAAATTTGTTTGGTATAACATACCAATGGAGCATACGTTTGTCACACTGTAGCTTAATGAAAGTGTCACTTCTCCTAGAAATGTGAACTGTCATAGGCTTAGCTGGATAAGGGAAAATATAAGCATTTCTATACCAAGTATGACCAAGATTTGGTGGCAAATGTGTACACTATATATTTGAGAGAGTTTGTCTGAGTGTCTGTTCAAGAACACCTCCTAAGCGGCAAGAGCTAAGACCACCAAATTCAGTATACAACTTCTTACAGTAACTTAAAGCAAGGTAAAGGTTTGGTTGTGCCTGGAAAACGCAATGTGCCTGGAATTGGACTGCTTCTCATAAAACCATACAGAAAGGAAGCAATCACAAGCAGGTGAAAAGAGCTAGCTGGGGATGCGCTTCCTGCAAGCCTACCAATCCCAGTCACCCTTTAGGGAGAAGTGGAGTGGTATTCGTACAGGAACATTACTCACTGTTCCCCTTCATCAGGGAAGAAGGGGAAGTTCTCAGTTTGCTGTGTTCATCAGCCTGGCTGGGAAGCACAGAGGGCAGATGAGCCTGGACTTTCACCTGCCTGCTGGAGCTGCAGCAGCCATGGAGAGGTGCTTCTCACTTGGCCCCACGCTGCTATGGTGAGAGGACCAGGGTAGTAGGGCAACCTACATTAGGGATATAAGAATGCAACCGACGAATCGATACGCGGATGCTTATTAGTTCTAGTTCTGGCTGAACTGCAATCCTCAGGGCCATGCACCGTGTAACCAACGGAACTGTAACCGGCTCCATAGTTCACATGTTTAGCCAGAAACGCCCCTCTCCAGCCCCACCCAGAGCAAGGACGGAAAGGACCCGAGCTAAAGAGCTCAGCTCCCGACTCCAGCGCCGCTTCCTCCCGCCCAGCTCCCCGCGGGGCGCGCTCGCTCCGGGGAACGGCCGGCGCCCGCCCCACCCCCCCA